TAATTTAATTTATTTATTTTTAAAGATTTTATTTATTTATTTGACAGAGAGAGACACAGCGAGAGTGGGAACACAAGCAGGGGGAGTGGGAGAGGGAGAAGCAGGCTTCCTACTGAGCAGGGAGCCCGATGCGGGGCTCGATCCCAGGACCCTGGGATCATGACCTGAGCCGAAGGCAGACGCTTAACGACTGAGCCACCCAGGCGCCCCTATATCCATATTTTAATGCTAACACTGATGCTGTGGAAACAGGCTTCTCCCTTGTTGTAATCTGTTGGATTTTTTTCTATGACAAACACACTATTGTTTGGGAAAGTCAAGTTCTTCTGGAATAAGTAAAAAACACAACAGATCTCATTTACATTGTTAATGTCCATAAATGGCCTCTCGATGAGTGCCCACTCTAGTAGAGTTTAAGGCTGATCATTTCTTAATTTAAAGATATCCACTGTCATGATATGAACTTGAATAAAGGCGCGCTGCCCCTAAATTCAAAGGACTGTGTTTTAAAGAAATCACAGTACGGTTTCAGTTAGGCTACAATGGTCCTATGATGATTATATAGTTAACTTTTTACCTAATTACGTGCAAGGGTGTTATATCATTTGCGTACTCATCAGAAAAAGTAAATGCAACTTGAACTTGAAACAACTTTTTTTTTTTTTTTTATAACTTTTACGCAGCTTTCAGGTGAAAGCATGAGGTTGAAATTATTGGTTAAAAACTGAGTTTTGGAACTGCAGTTCTGTACAGATTTCGATGATACATGTTACCCTTTTCTCCAAACCCCCTAAGAAACTGAACATTGGATATATTAACTTGTTTTATTGTCTTCAGTCCAGAAGCTTTTATAGACAAGTCTGAGCTTACCTATTACATGTGAGTTTTATAAAAGTCGACCTTGTGTGCTGAAGTTCTGGCTCCAATATGTGCAATGTTATTGTCCCTTTTCTCTCTCTCTTCTCCCCAAACCTTATTGTCCTCTTGCTTCCCATGTACGAGTCTCTTCTTAGAGAGACCTTGAATCTCACTGTCTCCAAATCTGCTTTCAAACAAACATTAGAAGCAAAGCACACAATTTAATTTTAAATACGTACTATTTTGACCTTGTTACAAATGTTTTTCACCCAGTGTGTTTGTGTCTTATTTTAGAGTTTATAAAACTCCATGTTTGTACGTTCACAGTGAAGAATCATCTTAGAATACTGCTCTTTGGTATCATGAAAAGTGCCACTTCGATTGATCTGGGCAAATCAGAAGAATGGATATTCAATAGCTATCCATAACTGATGTTTGTTTTTGTAAAACATCATTAAAGAATTACCATACTGCCAAGAGGAAAGTTTTTCAGGGATCCTATAAAGTTCACTCTTCATTGGACATTCAATGGACCTCCATTATTTGTAACTATGTTTCCGTCTCCACTTTCCCTTCGCTGCTCCCCTTCTTATATACCGGACCATAAACCGTGAGTTTGTACTTTTTAAGTTCTAAAAGCTGACGATGAGAGCTGAGATATTAAACCGGACTTCTCTTCGTGTGTGAGACAGGCATGGAGGTGGTTTGGCAGCCGTGGTACGATAAACAGTGAAAGCAGCACATTTATCCAAGTGCAGAGAGAGTGGTGACTGGCCAGGGTTAAATGAAACAGTACAGATCTGCCTTAGGGCCATTCTAAACAAGAGAGTAAGAAGTGGAACCCAAGCCAACAAGGGAAAGAAATGTTGACTCTGTTAGGAATAAGTAGAATGTCACCTTGAATGTTCTTGCAAGGTCTTATCAGTAACCAAAGGCATTCTTAATAAAGCTACATTCCTCAGTCTTATGGGTGGGTTTCTGTAAACTTTGGAAATATACTCATGCTGGATTATTAATATCTTTAATTCCACAAACATTAATGGAGCACCTAAAATGTGTCAGAGGCTGTGCCAAGAGCCCGAGATACAGATGAACAATGTCTAACACAGAGGCTCTCAATGCTGGCTGCCACTCAGGATCGATCTCAATCTCCCACGGGCCATAAAATAACATCAATAGCTCAGCCCCACCCTCAGGGGTTCTGAGTCACTGTGTCTGCGACTAGGCGTCTGCAGCTTCTTACAGCTCCCCAGCGGACTTACTCTTCAGCTGGAGCGGAGACCGGACCCTTAGGTCCTAGGCTCTCATACTGCCTTAGAGAAAACCCCAAGACGCAGTTAACTACAGTAGTAGGATGGAAGGATGCTGTGGCCTCCCAAGTACCCCAGACTTTGTCTGGGGTGGCGGGCTTCACAGGCAGAGGATGAGGGACAAGGAAGGCTTCCCCAGCGCAGTGACGCAAACATATTCCAGAATTCTCAGTAGCCAGAGCTAGCTAAGGTTGCTTGAACAAGTAGTATGTGCCAGGTTCTCTTGATGGCACCGCTAACAGCTATCAGAGGTAGGCGTGATACACACATTGCCAGAGGAAACTGAGGCACAGGAAGATCAGCGACTTGCTGAAAGTTCACAACACTTGTAAGTGGCAGAGTTAGGATTCGAACCAGACACTCTGCCTCCAACTCAACATGATCTCTGGGTGAAAGAAAGTAATGGATGTAGGTGATGTTTAAATTTTAAAAATCCAAAAGATAGATGCCAAGGAGAACTGCCTCTCAAATAGCTATCGTAGTGAACATACTTGAAGACAGTCAGATTTTATTATTTTTTTGGTCCAGTCCCATTTTTCCTGTTTTTCTGGGGTTTTTGAAACACTGTGAATCTTTTACTTTACTTCAAGTTGACGTAAATAGAGACCCAAAGACAGCAACACTACAGAAAAGCAATTTCTTGTCTGAGCTGAATCCAACCTGAGCCTCGGGGAGACTGTTTGAGAGCTACAGTGATCTGCCTACGGCACACCTCCATAATGTCGGGGACACTAAGGACTTTTTTTGGTCCACCCCTTAGCTGTATGTTTTAAGTAGATAAGTTTCCAGACCTGAGCCATAAGCAGCAGACCTAGGCAGGAGTCAACTAATTAGTTATTCCAGTCTCCAACAAGTCACGCTTCCTGACAAGCATTTCCTACCAGAGTGGGCCAAGTTCACGGTTCTTCAAAGTACCCCTGACATTATAAAATGTAGGAAACAAGCTGTATGTTAGCTAACTACCTTCACATTTATGATGCAAATGAGCCTTACGAGATTCTTAGAGAAAATTTTAATGTAAATTTTAGCAAATAAAGGAAGAACGAATTACAGTTTTATTCAATAAAAGGTAATAAGATATTTTGCTATTAATTTGAATTAAACATGCAAAGATTCTCATCTCAGATCATATTGCTCAGATGTACAGGTAAGATATTTATTTTTTGCGACTTTCAGTATTATTGTTTTGACTCAAGATGTTTTCTCGGGAATGTTCCTCTCTCCTCCCCTAATATTTTCCTGAAACTCCCAGTTGAATGCATGCCCACACACAGACCTCCAAATCATCCCAGGCCTTCTTTGTTTCTTCTCTGGGACATGTATGTCCTGTGAAGCCTCCAGGGCACCAAGCACGCAGTAGATCCTCATAAAACCATTTAAGAATAGACACTGAATGGGATGAGGTGAAATCTTCTAAAGAGTTCTGACCACTGCTTTCCCAGGAGCCTATCTTGCCAGCACTGAGTCCTGAGCTAAATCAACATTCACATCTATTGGAGAGGTACAGCAGACCATCACGTGGGCACTGCCCCCAGAGGTGAGAGACGATGATGCTCATCTCCTCTCTACTACCCACTGGCCACACAGCTAGTACCAAAGTATTTACTTCCCCTGACAAGGAGGCTAATAATACCTTACTTGCCAAGATGCAAGAAGTTTGTCCACATGATTTTACAAGGTTTCTTCTAGCTCCTAACTATGACACATCTTTGACTGCACCAAACCTTGCTCTCTTTCTTAGTCCCATACAAACAATACAGTTTGTGATAAACACAGAACTTCATCTGAAGCTGCTGTGGGAGAGATGTGTGATAAGACAGGCAGTAATCTGGGTATTTACCCCAAAGATACAAATGTAGGGATCTGAAGGGGTACGTGCACCCCAATGTTCATAGCAGCAATGTCCACAATAGCCAA